ATATAAAGAGTAGATGTAACTTTACATTGACTTGTATCAATATCATTTAACATATGTCAAAAGTGTTACCAGCCATTAGGGGATGAAATGTGTTTTTACACAGTAGGAAGATGTTTTTTTTTTACATTTTTACAACTGTTGAATAAATAGATATTGTGGGAGTGACCAGCACCTTCATCAGGGTTCATCCTCTCAGGATAATGAATTCACTCACTAAATGTTGACTAATCTGTTCCAGTTGTAGAATCTAATGGAGGCTACAAATTTGCTCTGATGACAATGATGTGGTGGTGGAGGTCACCAAAAAAAGTTCAGATTTGATCCTTTGGACAACTTGCTTTTTGGCATATCTCACTGTGGACCAATGTTTTTGCCTGGACAGATGAAGAGAAGTCCATTAGCACTTGATGTATATAATCACAAAATATAGGTATGGTCTATATTTATATAGAGCTTTTCTAGTCTTTAAGACCACGAAAAGCACTTTACAGTACTGTTTATCACCATTCACCCATTCATCACGTCACACATTCCAGGATATGTAAAGGTACTCACCCAAAGCTGTTCAGAGCCGTACTGAACTATTCTGTCAAATCATCAATCAATCAAATTGTATTTGTATATATGTGTATTGCCTAAATTCAGAACAGAATCCTTAATATGCCAAATTATTTTTCACTGCACTCAAAAAGTACTCACCAAACTTCAGCCTCAGAGAGAAATTGAGAGTATCTCCAAGTATTCAGTATCTACAGGTGATCAGGGTCTGAGTCCATAAGAGCCAAACAAGAGGAATGTCCCCTACTCAGTAACGCTAAGGTCCACCCACATCTAGGACATAGGTTATCGAGACTGGACTGACACCCAGTGGCAAAGTCTATACAGTACAATTCAAGAGATGGAGCTTTTCTTGTGGAATCATCTGATGGTGGAATCATGAGCATGACAAGTTTAAGAGGAAGGATGGTCAAAGTCAAAATAACACAAAAGCAAATTTGATAAAATCCTCATCTTGGGTGATTTGAACATACATGTCTGCTGTTTTACTCTTTACAGATTTTACAGACACTGGAATGATTCAACCTCACTCACTAATACATGAACCAACTCACTCAACGGGTCACACTCTTGATCCTTTTTAACGGTCTCAGTCTTTAGAACATTGAAATTATAGATTTCTGTGTGTCCGACCACAAAGCAGTTTTATTAAATGTGGTTTTATCCCATTTACTTTTTAACTATGATGCACCTGTTCCCCACTGGGTTTTCTGTTAGCAAGTTTTCTGAGATTTTTACTTCTGCCTCTTTAAGTGCTTTTAATCCAAATGCTAACACAGAGGAGACTGGTCTCCTTCTTAATCATAGCCGCCAGACAGTCCTGGACTCTGTGGCCCCCTACAGTGTCCACAAATCCAGGATTGCACCCCAGCCCTGGCTGGAGGAGAAAGTAAAGAAAAGTTGGATGGCAAAAAACTATTTGCAACTCAACAACCTTGTTTGACCAATCCCTCCCTTTCAAACCACAAATTAAAAAAGTAGTTCAGTCCTGCTTCCTACAAATCAGAACCATCTCCAAAATCGAACCTTTCACACCAAAATGTAATCCATGCTCTATTCTTCTCTAGACTGTACTCCTGTAACTCCCTCCTCTCTGGCATGGTCAAAGTAATACTCTGGATTTTAAAACTGGAACGAAGGAGACAGTAATGTTTGGCTAGGTTTAAAACAAAAAGCACCCCAAGGTTCTGCAGTTGCATCTGGGGACTTAAAAATATACATTTGTTTTTTTCTTTAGTTTCTATCTGTCCAATCTCTCCCACCTCCAACTAGTTCAGAGCACAGCAGCTCGGCTTCTCACTGCTCTTTAAATGCAAAATCACCCGATCCTTCCTTCTCTTAAATGGCTCCTTGTCCGTTTTAGAATTGATTTTAAGATTTTTCTGATCACTTTTAAATCACACCAGGGTTTGACCCCAAGCTACATCACAGAATGACTGACCCCTTATGTGCCTGCACGCAGCTGTACATCCTCAGGTGGAGCCCTGCTCGCTGTTCCAAAGTCGAGGTTGAAAACAAAAGTTGACAGTGCCTTTATTAGTATCATCACTTTACTTCTTAATGTGTTCAAGTATTCATTTTCTTGCAAACTCTGTTTTTAAAAAGTGCTATAAAAATAAAGTTTATTATTATATAATTATTATTCTGTAGGCGTCCGCCCGCCAAAAGGACCAATTACGTTAAACATGGATGTCTGGCTCCGTTCCGTTGCCCATGGCAACAGCTGGCAGAGGAGTGGGAGCTTATCACAAGGGAGGGAAGAGTGGAGGAGAAAAGAGACGACCAGACCCAAACCACAACACCGGCTTACACAGTTATGGAGGAAGAGATGACATCACATCCAGATCTTACTGTAACAAAGCCCCAGAGCTGCGTCACTGTACTGAGGTGAATGTTTGCTTTTACTTCTTGTATACTGAGGAMTTATTCTTTTTTCTATCTTTCTCTTTTCATGTGAACTTAGTATTGAATCAGAACACACACCCACAGCAGGTTTACACRGAGGTCCCTTTAGTTATTCATATACTTTGGGCTCTAATCATCACTTCTTTCCTCTTTTTTTATTAAAGACCCAAGTGCAGCTTTTGACAAGTTTGATATATGGCACTTTGCTAGTCTACCTCCCTTTCATCATAATGTCCCTGATGAGAATCCCTGGAATACATCCATCCTTAAATTGCTGTCATACATCACAGAGATTAGTAGAGGGAAAGAGTTGCATCTGTTCCAATAGAACCATCACGCTTTGAGTAATGACCGACTTTATGAGAGAGGAATTGGATTGATTTTCACTGCTCATCAGCTACCTTTTTGATTTCTGCATTAGAAATAAAGACAATGTTATGTCTCTCAGGGCGCCCACCTAATGGGGCCAAGGAAAGGAATACTAATCACTTGTTATCAATGGACATTTTTTTGTTTGCTTCCCAGGAACAGAAAGTCTTTGAAGCTGCTCTCTGGCTGGTGCAAGCCCACAACATCCAAAGGTCAGAGGTCGTGCCGCGTCGGTCAGGTGCCGCCTCTCTGCTCCTCAGCTGTGAGGTCGTTTCTCACAGAGCATGGAATGAGTCTGGTGTGGGTGCGTCTGTCTTTACTGTCGAAGGGCAAACCAGAGCTCCATGGTATGGTGTGTGTGCCAGTCGCAGAGGACCTGAGGCTGCTGAGCAAGAAGTCCGACAGCAGCTGCCCCCAGGAGCCACTGCACAGAAACCACTTCAAAAGCAGAATCAAACGCAGAAACAAGGGCTCCAAGAAAGCTGCTACATCCTCTTTGTCCACTGATAAAACTGAGGGTAACCTCCCCCCCGCCTCAGGATTGATGTCATGGGCTTCATAGGTATTTAGTTTAGTTAAATAAGGAAGTTTTGCTCTCCACAGTCGCCAAAGTGCTGCTCATTGTGGGAACTGTTGGGTCTCGGTCTTGACCTTTTTATGTTATGATCTGGCTCTTGAAATTGAACAGAACTGAATACCTTTTATCATAATTCATTCCTCATTTTGCTGTGGACTTTTGTGTGAAGCACTTTGTAACCTTTTTTAGATAAGTGCTATACAAATAAATGTATTATTATTATATTACTCACAGGAAATAACAATAAAAAACATTTGATTAAAATAAAATAAAAGGACTGAGAGGTTGAAATAATTTAATAATGTGAGGAATTTATGTGGAGAAAACCTTACATAAGTGGAGAAAAAATTGATTGTCGTCCTCCAACCAGAAGGTCGGCGGTGGGATCCCAGTCTTCCCAATCTGTGGGCAAAAGCTGCCCATAGAAGCATTGTATGAATCCGTGTGTGAATGGGTGAATGGCAATTCAATGCAAACTGTACTGTAAAGTGCTATGAGTGGTCATCAAGAGGAGAAAAGTTCTATATAAATACAGATCAGGAGACAGAAAAAACTTTATATGTGTATTTAGTGTGAACTATAAGTTAAATATGCTTGTTGTTCACTGGACAGGAGCTCAGACAAATGTGAGGAATGCATCAGATCTGGAGCAACTCAGGGCACCCACCTAATGGGTGGATGCCCTGAGTAACAGACTGCTATTTTATATTTACGTGGGTGTGTCGCTATAAATGTTGCTGCCACAAAGAATTGTGGGACAGCATTTTCTCCTTTCCTTTCATAAAGAATGGTCTGATGTTTCCTATGCTCAAGGAGATAAGTTAGAAAACATTGAAGCTCATTTCCTTATCATTTAGAGAATTCAAACAGGTCTTATTATATCTGAATGTGTGGGTCGTTTCCCTCAAGGTAGAAAGGTCCCTGAGCAAAGTTTCTATGCCTCTGCACCAGTGACAGCCAGGGGCCGGAGGCATTATGTTTTCGGTTAGTCTGTCCAATCCCTGTGAATGTGATATTTCAGGAATACATTTTCAAATCCCTTCTAACATCCACTCTTTAAAGTAAAATGACTTCCTCTTTATCATGTCTTATTCCGTATTGGTGTATTGTGGAGAGACAAATTATGTTTATAGATTAGCTTCCAATAGTGACTTGTTGATGGAAGGAGGTTAAGGCAGTTTGTTAATCTCAAAATCACATTTCGACAAAACTTTTTAGTCAGTTTTAGTGTAACATTCATAGGATCAAAGTCAATAGCATTCAACACCCCCTCTTTCAGGGATTTGACCATATCTCACTTTCTGATGATGTATATTTTTCCAAATAAAACTAAAGAAATTCTGGTTGATCGTTTTAATCATATATCAGTGATATCTCAAACAGGCAGGGAAAATAAGCCTCAATAAGGCTTCCTTGAATCCTACCAAATATAGATAGATCCTTTAGTAACCATATATTCAGAATCATTTTACTCTTCTTCAAAATTATTTCATTATTAGCTTTTACTTTATAGTTTAAATCCTTTTAAATGGTGATCCCCAGATATCTGACTTCATTCTTAATTGGTATTGCACGAATAGGCATTTGGACGTGTTTGTGGTATGAATTGTGGCTTCATGGGCACTGTCCAGTGCTGAAAGATGCTTATGTCATTTCAATGTGGTCACTAATAGTTTGTTGAATATTCTTGATCAAATTCAATTACAGACGATATCTACAGTATATCCAATGCTCTGTGTGCTATTTGTGCTTTCATAGGAAAAATGTTTTGTTCCAGGTCCCCCATCGCACAGGGAGAGAAAAAAATCCTGGCGCCAGCCATGCCCCAATGGCATAAAATAACTAGTACTGTATCTGTTCCCAAAAGAATTTATGAAAACTTGTCCTTCTCATGATATTCATTTGACGGCATTATCTAATTCCCTCATTTCAATATCAGACACCAAAATCTCTTTAAAATCTGATGTGACAGTGGCAATGTGGGCTTTTACCTGATCAAATAGGACAACAAATTCCTCTCTGGAGTAAAACATATAGCTCTGCATAAAATCAATAGACTTTTTCTGATATCAGATTAGCATCAGTGCAATCCACATATTTAATCACAAGAGCATTAACTGCATTCCTCTCCTGTCTTCTTTTTTCCAAACCACAGAAGAAACTAACATTATATCCTTAATTTGTGGGGGAATTTAGGAGCCATATATACAAAAATAAAAAAAAAGAACCTTCTATATTTAACACAGCTGCCAGATTATGAGCATTTTCATCTGCCTTGTATGAAACTGCATTGCCAGAACATCTGTTGATATAAATAGCAATCCCTGCTGATCTATTAGTCCTGTGACTGTCCAGTATCTTGTCTCCCCACCGAGGTGACCAAAATGAAGAGTCTGCCACCTACCAGTATGTTTCATGAAGGAAAATACAGTGCATTTTCTAACCTTTACAATATAAAAAAATAGCTTTTCTTTTTGCATTGTCCTTGAGATTTAAATTGCTATTTAAACAGTCCTTTATGGGGCCATTATTGTAGCAAAACTATTGAGGACGGATTGTGAAAGATTCACAATCTGTATGATCAGATTTTTGTAAAATAATCTCCAAATGTGTAATAAAATGTGTTAATGTGTACATGTATTTGTATCTGTATTCAGAATATGTGTGTAATATGATTAACAGATATGTAAAAAAAATAAATAAATAAAATTCAGCAAATAGGCATCGGAATCCGTGTGTGTAAAATGTGTAAAGAAAATTTCTTCAAATATGTATTCAGAATTGAAAGCGTATTTATATCTGTAGATGTGTGGACAAATCTGTAAATGCATACATGGAGATTCATGGTATGGTATTTTGCTTCAAGAGCTGAAAATATAGACAAATCATCAGTTTCTATTTAGGCAGCCTCTCAGCTGGCTGGTTTTTTAAAATTTTTTTACAAGTGACTTAAGCTACACTTCTGTCGTGGCAGATACCAGTAATTCTTCTATCTTCATACTCTATCAGGGCCAGTATATCCATCATGCAAGCACTACACACAAGTGTCACTGCAGTATTTATGTTTATAGAAATCGGAGCGACTACTTCTCACAGCAGTGGTTTCATAACCTCCACTCTGTGACATTATTTGGAAATTGATTGTTTGAAGCTATTTAGTTTTTATAAGTGATTGACACACACGCAGAGACACACACAGAGACACACACAGAGACGCGCAGAGACACACGCAGAGACACACGCAGAGACACACGCAGAGACACACGCAGAGACACACGCACGTGCGCGAGCTACGACAGGAGTAAGAAAGCATAGTCAGAGTACCAGTTATGTTATGACATTCTGTCGAGTGCTCTATTTAATTATGTTCAATTGTGTTCAAACAAAACCTTTTCAGTGTTGTGGCGTTGTTAAAAGAAACTGACACAGTTCTGAAATCCAAACCCATTAATATGCCTTTTTTTAAACAATAGAAAACCACAACATAAATAGTCTGTGCACCATTAAGCCTGGATATAAAAGGATGAACAATAAGCCATAAATTAAAACCTTTTGGAAAACCCATTGATAAAAGGCTGAACTAATGTTTTTTACCAAAACCAAGATCCAACTGATTTCACTGATCTGTTTGTGGAACACTCCTCTGACAAATGAGTTAGTATGAAAACAAGAATCCAAAAACAGTGAGGATCTCTCTCAAAGTAAAATACACACAACTAAAAATGTCTTCAGCACTGACACCTGGAAGCCGGTAGTCATTCTATGGGCATATCATAAAGTCTTCAGGCAACACTGCAGATAGATGATGGCACGATTCAAGAGAGCAACTACAAAAGGCACAGAGATTCTGTGAGATCACTTCTTTACTGAAGCATCATGCAACTTAATTGCATAGAGCAGTCTCCAATGAGGCAGAATCCAATGCTTTTGGGGAATGAGGTTTTCCATAGGATCACATGCTTCCATCAGACCTCTATGTTGATTTTTGCGAAGCGGTAATGCAGAGAGGCAGGGTTGCGCAGCAGCACCATTCCTCTGTGTTCCGTCGGCTGGTTCTGGAGGGTGTTGAGGAGACCAGCGACACTGACAAACCCCAGAGCCTCCCCACAGCCCGCAGACAAGGAGAAGTCACCCTGCGTAACCCAGCCTAGGGTCACTCTGGAGCAGTGAGAGGTGACGCTCGGCAGAGGATCCGGCCACAGCCCAAAGATGAGATCTGAGGAAGACTCGGAAGATGATTTGGGATCTTCAGTAGAAGTGGGGAGGTTTGGTCCAGAGGCGGGGGGGAGGTTACCCTCAGTTTTATCAGTGGACAAAGAGGATGTAGCAGCTTTCTTGGAGCCTTTGTTTTTGCGTTTGATTCTGCTTTTGAAGTGGTTTCTGTGCAGTGGCTCCTGGGGGCAGCTGCTGTCGGACTTCTTGCTCAGCAGCCTCAGGTCCTCTGCGACTGGCACACACACCATACCATGGAGCTCTGGTTTGCCCTTCGACAGTAAAGACAGACGCACCCACACCAGACTCATTCCATGCTCTGTGAGAAACGACCTCACAGCTGAGGAGCAGAGAGGCGGCACCTGACCGACGCGGCACGACCTCTGACCTTTGGATGTTGTGGGCTTGCACCAGCCAGAGAGCAGCTTCAAAGACTTTCTGTTCCTGGGAAGCAAACAAAAAAATGTCCATTGATAACAAGTGATTAGTATTCCTTTCCTTGGCCCCATTAGGTGGGTGCCCTGAGAGACATAACATTGTCTTTATTTCTAATGCAGAAATCAAAAAGGTAGCTGATGAGCAGTGAAAATCAATCCAATTCCTCTCTCATAAAGTCGGTCATTACTCAAAGCGTGATGGTTCTATTGGAACAGATGCAACTCTTTCCCTCTACTAATCTCTGTGATGTATGACAGCAATTTAAGGATGGATGTATTCCAGGGATTCTCATCAGGGACATTATGATGAAAGGGAGGTAGACTAGCGAAGTGCCA